TGTTCAATTACAAGCATATAGTTTAAGCTTAAGTCTCATAGGTATCAATTGGTTCAGTTACAAGTACAGTTCCATCTAGTTACAAAGTAAAGCCTCATTTAGTTACAAGCATATGTATGTAAGCATATATATGTGTGTGTTTATGCACGCATACAAGTGTGTATATAGATATATCTAAATATGTATTTATATAAATATATGTACATATGGGTTTGCATATTAATATTTTTTATGAGGGAGAAATATTTCAAAATTTTGGTTTTTGATTAAAATAATCAAACCAAACCATAATTTTGGATTATTTTTTTAAACCAAACCCAACAAAATTTAAAAAAATCAAACCAAATTTTAAAATCTAATTTCATTCTATTTTGTGTAACATTATAATTAAATACGAAATTTATATTTGGTTTTAAGTTTCTATATTTTTCTTTAATTTTGTGGGTACTTTAAATTGAAATATATTATAAATTATTTAAAAACAAAAAATTTGATAAAAGCTATCAAAAGGAGAGAATTTTAATCTAAAAAATATAAAAATGTTGAAAGCTGACCTAAAACCCGTAGAATCTGATATAAAATTAAAATTTGCTTTCCTAAAATTTTCCCTCAACTCTCTCCATTTTTTATGTTCCCTCCTCCTCTCTTTATTGAAATTGGAAACACCCCCAAAATTTCATTTTCCTCCTTTCTCTCTCTCATTCTCTCTTTATTTTTAGTTTTCCCCTCCTTCCGCCCTCTCTCTTCCCAAAATTGGGTTGTCTAATTTAGATGTCTTTATTGAATTTGGAACCCCCCCCAAAAAAAAAAATTTCATTTCCCTCTCTCTCTCTCTCTCTCTCTCTCTCTCTCTCTCTCTCTTTGTTTATAGTTCTTCCCTCCTCCAGCCCTCTTTTTTCCCAAAAATGAGTTATTTAATCCAAACGTCTAGACCCTATATGTAACACTCCATTCCAAATTTGGGTTTTCATCTCCCTGATTCATGATTTTCTCTACAAAAAAAAAAAAAAAACTATTTAGTAAGAAGTTTGAGTTGAATGCAAAGATATTAGCATAACAGATGGTCCGAGTTTGTTGTAGCTCATAGCTAACCTGTCAAGGGAGAAGATTAGTTTGTTTGGTTATCTCTATGAACTATTATCTCCCATATTTTGAAACTTGAAAGGTAAGTTAGTCTCTTCTTAAGTCTAGTTACTCTTTTCCCCTGTTTTTATGCTTAATCTTTGTAAATAGCCACTAGAAGATTAGCAAACAACTTTGTTTTTATCCAATATCTTTGTTTTAGTCTTTCCTTCAAATGCACGGGTGAATGTTCCCAAGTTTTACAAGTTTATAAAATTTTGTTAGAAAAATTGTTTAACAAAGATGGACTGATGTCCCACGTGAGGATTGTATAGGTAATTCATTTCTTTGATTCTCTCTGTTATGAGCACTAAATATATTTTAGAGGGTTGAAACTGATTAGTTAATTGAATGGCTTGAAAAATAAATAAGGGAATAAGAAAAATTTATTTATACAAAGTTGAAACTTTTCATATTTGAAATTTTATAATGGTAATTAATTTATTTTCTTATCTTATTTTTGCAGAAAAAACCAGATTAGATCATTGATGGAAAAGTAAACTGGAAAGAGAACCCAGGTAAGAAGGGGATGCATAGAGGAAAGTTTACTGGGTTGTTCTCTATGTAATTACCAAGAGCACATTTTTTAAATATTAAAAATGTATTTGTATTATTTAATAATTTCACATATAAAACTACATGCACTATGATTTTTAATTATTTTTTATGTTTGTTTGTGGTGATTGAGGATTGAAATGATGAATGAATATTATAGGAATTATATTCTTTTATGGTGAATGAGTAATTTGTGAATTATAAAAATTGTAATTAGTGACCTCACAAAAATTGTGAAATTACTAATTTTTTTTATGACCCATATATAAAAAATAATAACTAATTTAACGTGGTTATTAATTGGTAATATTTATTCACTTTTTTATTATTATATATATATATATATATAAGTGGTTATAAATTAGTGATCTCAGAAAAGGGTTACAAATTGTGACCCAAATTAGTGACCCCATGAAAGGGGTCACAAATTAGTGACCCTAAAAGTTACGGTCATAATTTAGTGACCCCAGAAAGGGGTCACAAATTAAATTGTAACCCAAATTAGTGACCCCGTGAAAAAGGTCACAAATTAGTGATCTAAAAATTGCGGTCACAAATTAGTGATCGTAGTTAGCGGTCACTGATTCGGTCACTAATTAGTGACTGCAGGAATTAGTAACAAGCTTTTTTCTAACCGATTTTATCAATCACAAATGCAGTCACTAATCATTCAGTGACCGATTTTCTTTGTCTTTAGTGACCACTACTGCAGTCACTAAAACCCATTTTTCTGGTAGTGTCATGACTTATACAAGCATGAAAACCTAGAATGATACTTGAGTTTTTAATTGAAAATTTATTTTAAGTTGATTCTTAAATGCATTGAAAACCTAAAATATATATTTTTATTGCTTTTATGATTTTAAATTATTTGTAGATTCTCTCCAAGCCCATGTCATTAATGATCGAATTGCTTAATTTTTATTAGTTCTATAAGTAATAATATGGATTTATGAGTATTTACTGTTTTTCATATCTGTTATAAAACCTGATTTTACATGATTTATTTCTGTACAAACCTGATTCTTGAAATTGAGTTAAACTGTTATAAATGAATAACAAGGAACAGGTATGTTACTATTGGATTTTGTTTTGGAAAAAGTATCTAACATTGCTTCCTGATACTATTTATATCTATAATTAAAGCTTCTATTTTCTGATAAATTGTTTCTGCTTAGTACTGAAAAACTATTTTAAAGGAGATTCACATTGTTAGAATACTATAACTAATAGTATTAAGCGTTAGATTGGATGCACCCTAAATTGTATCTTTAGCTAGTAGAAGTGGTGCTAGACTACCATGTTAAACTAACATGGGAGACCTATATATCTATATATTGGTAGACTAAGAGGTTGTTGCTTGATTTCTGTTATCGGCCGACTATGAAGTCACGTCTTGATTTATGTTCCATTCTGGACCACAAACTCCCTAAATTCTAGACAACTATTAAATTCTATTTTTTGTAAATTTTTTTATTATAATTGATATACATATCCCTTGTGTTCATAAATGTATGTTATCATTCACGAAGTTTATCAACTCACTCCTTATCATTTTTCATATTCGAAATTTGATATTTCTTCAGATTCTACATCTTAAGGAGTGTTCGTTGTTTTATTTTTTAATTTGTCATTCATAGATGTTAGTATTATTTCTATTTATGATTTTTATTAGAAATTGAGACTTTAATAGATAAGCATTATTGACTACAAACAGGTTTTCTGCTATATATTGACAAATGTCATAATTTGGATTACATTTCTATTTCAAACTTTATTATCATAAGATTTGGTTTAATTATTCTAATTCATATGATAGATTCAATATTTCTATTAAGCTTACTAAGTTGAATTTTATTCTAATCTTAGTATCAATCACAAATCCAACTCCGGAGTCGTGACGCACTTATAATTAATTTCTTAAATTGTTAAATTAATATGTTATATCAGCATAATTATACAAAAAATATCGAGGCACAATAAATAGCCATAAAAATTTTGATCATAAAAGATCATTAATGTAGACTTTTCCAATTATAATGAGTTGATAACAATTATTAAACTAACTAGTCATGGCCAATGGAAATTGTATGTTTTCCCCAAATTAAATGTCATTTTATTTTTTTAAGGATTTAATCGTGAGTGTTCAACAAATCGAATCAAATCATTTAAACTAGTGAAACTATAGTTTGGTTTGGTTTGGTTTAAAAGAGGATATAATTTGGTATAATATTTAACATTTAAACAAATCATACAAATTGAATCAAACTTATAATTTATATATATAATTAAAATTTTTATTTATATATATAATTTATTTTTACTATTTGATATACTTATTCTTTTCATTATTTTATACATTTATACTTCGTTTAACAGTAAATTATTTCCTTTCCTAAACGGTGACTTCTATTAATAGATTGGAATTTTATTATAATATTAATTATATTTACTATATAATATATAGTCACTATAATTAATTGTTACATAATAAATTTAAATATTATTTATAAAAAAATTTTAAAATTTTTATGAAAATAATAAATTTTAATATATTCTATTTCCTAAATTATAAATTGTAATTCAAAATCAAATTAAGTCATAAATTGTGATTTAATTTAATTTCTAAAATCATATCTTATATAATATAATTTAATTTAAATTTGAATATAATTCTAACCATGAAAACCTGGATTCAATATGACCCCAAATCGTTATCAATCCTTAGACATTCGATGCATCAAGCCGTCTTCGCCATTGACACAAGCACCTCCAACGGATGATGTTTGCCGCTGCTCCCCCATGACTAAGACAAAAAATAAAAAAGAACGGAAAAATGATAGGTGCGGCCGTTTTTGGCCTGAGGAAGGGAACAACTTTGTACTTGTATAATATTGTGTTTTCGGAAAAAGAGAATCATATATAGCCCTGAATTGTTATTAATTTTGTTAGGATTCTTCTTTCTAATTTTATTTTCCTTGCTCTTTATATTTGGTTTCCCTCCTACCCAAAAACAAAATACAAATACAAATCCAAGATAGCCAACTCTAGGATGATTTGCCATTTTCTAAATGTTAAACGATAACTCTTGACCATAATGGAGTCAACCCAAGTAAATTGAATAATGAACGTGGTGGGCGAATAGGATGCATGCCTCTGAGAGTGAAAGAAGACATTCTCCACGTCGGACCGTTCTGGCCATTCGCAGAACCCAATCCCTAAACGTCCCGGACAACAATTCTCACTTGTTACTCTATTCTGGCTGCTATAAAACCCAATTCACCCTTTGCAACAAAAAAAGACTCCAAGCTGCACGGAAAATCATGGGTAGTAAGTGGGCCCTCTTTGTTCTCACCCACCTATTGCTTTGCTCAGTCCCCAGTTTAGCGGATTCATCGTCTTCGATCTCAAAAGGGCTCTCAGAGATTACCTCGATCTTCCTCGATTACGCCAAGAAAAATGAGGTGTTTGATTGGATGGTCGGTGTTCGGAGAAAGATCCACGAGAATCCGGAACTGGGTTATGAGGAATTTGAGACCAGTAAGCTTGTTAGAACGGAGCTGGACAAGATGGGTATTCCTTTCAAGCACCCAATTGCTGTAACCGGCGTGGTTGGCTTCATCGGTTCCGGCCAGCCCCCCTTTGTTGCTCTTCGGGCGGATATGGATGCTCTCTCTATGCAGGTTTTCTTTAATTTTCTAGGGCTTTTGTGGTAAGATATCCGACAAGCAAAAAAGACGCGATCAGTTTCATCATCAAAATAGGGCTTCTGAAAAGCCCCTAATTGGAAGCTTTTGGCTGCTGGCTACAAAAGCCCTGAATTCCTACCAAAAAAAATTAAAAAAAATAAAATAAAAAAATCAACTTCCGGAAAAGCTGCTTCTTGCAGGAAACAACGGAAAACAACCTAAATTCAGAGCCTTTTTTAACTCTAGAAAAGCCCTGAAACCCAACAACAGTTCAGTTGTTTCTCTTGCTCTACTTTTGCTCGACTATTTACATCCTAGTAGTAACTGCACTTTTAAAAGCATGGTATTTTAACTAATTATGTGTTGATATTAAGTTCCGTTATGCAGTTTTGGGACATATTTGTAGTTACAGTAAATTTAGGGAACAATAGAACACTATATATGTGCATGTGCTATTGATTTAGTTGAAGAAGAGAAGGTTACGAAATTTCGTGTAATATGATGTGATATGATGTGTATTATTGAAGCTGTGCTTTTTATAGGAAATGGTGGAGTGGGAGCACAAAAGTAAAATTCCTGGAAAAATGCATGCCTGTGGGCACGACGCCCATGTCACCATGCTTCTTGGAGCTGCAAAGATTCTTCAAGATCACAAGGAGCTCTTAGAGGTTCAATTTTGTGACACTTGATCACTACTTTCTGATCCTGTCTGACAATTTACTGTTCTCTATTTTCATGTAGCGGTTGATACATAACATGTAGATTGATTATCTCTTTTCAGTGATATAGTAGCTTAGAAATCCAATAGTTTGAAAGTGGCCAATCATCTTCAGTGCTGACCAAGGATTCTCCTTATAAGAGACAGTTTGGAATATGAATTTACAATTTTAGATATATTAGGTGTACTACTGGCTGATTTACCCGAATAAAATTCTGTTGAATGTTAAACGTTTGTCAGACTATGTTTTTTTTTCTTCTGCTTAAGAAGACAGACTTTGAGGTAGGATTTTTGACAAATAATCCAAATGGCAATAAACTGAATTGGTCTCAAGTAGGGATCATAATAACTCAAATAAGTAGTTTGTGCCGGATCAAGAACTGGTCAGAGGTGCAAAGTCCAACTATGCATTACACTAATATGCATTGATCTTGGGATACTGTAATAACTGCTGTTCAGTTGCCACTGCAGAACTATGGTCTTAATTCAATCCATCTTTTATCTGGTGCTGAAGTTTGCATTTAATTGTTAAACTCTGCTACAAGGAACCTGTTCAAACTTTTCGTGTACAAAGTTTCTGATGTCTAAGGTGTAGTTCCTGTCAATAGATTGACAATTATTAAAGGCTAGTTTGCCCTCTGTATCTTTTCTTTCCCTATTTTATATGTTTTGTCCTCATCAATGCTACTATTAATGTCTGAAAAAACTGAGAACCTACTTCCAGAGCATACAAATATTACTGTGTAATAGAAACTAGTCATGGTATTGGTGATTTCCCCTTCAATTCAATTATTCTTTCTAATATGCTAATTTTTCCTCTCTCTCTCTCTCTCTCTCTCTCTCTCTCTCGCTATTTTGTGCCTGTGCATGTGTATGTTGGAGATAGGGGACAGTTCTTCTTGTCTTCCAACCAGCTGAGGAAGGAGGGGGAGGGGCAAAGAAAATGCTAGAGTCTGGATTACTTGAGAATGTTGAAGCTATATTTGGAATACATGTCTCTCCGGACCACTCCATTGGTGAAGTTGCCTCCAGACCAGGACCACTTTTGGCTGGGAGTGGCTTTTTTGAAGCGGTGATAAGTGGAAAAGGAGGTCATGCAGCCATTCCCCAGCACTCAATTGACCCAATTTTGGCAGCTTCAAATGTGATTGTCAGCTTACAACATCTTGTTTCTCGAGAAGCTGATCCTCTGGATTCTCAGGTACTTTGATATTTTAAACCCACATTTTTTATCCCTTCTGCCATTTTGTACAAATTTGAATGCCTCGCTGATTATTAACAATAATAATACATTAAAAAAAATCATCTTCATCTGCTATAGTGTTAAACAGATTCATAATCTAATTATATTGCTCATTTGGATGGTGGAGATCATGAAATCTATTTTTTGTTTTCATCTATTTTCTGAATTTTAAGTTGTTCTGATTGCTAAGTATGAATTTTATTTTGAGAGTTTGCTTCTTAATTCACTGTGTTTATTAATGGGATTTACTTCCCCCTTGCTGGTGTATAATGTGCCTACATGTACATTAGGCTTGACTTTCTGAAATGTTAGACTGTCAGATGTTGATATTAAAAGTTTTGTAATGGGCGTTTGGTCACCTGGCTTTTTGAGTCTGTGAATTTGGTTTTTTAACCCAAAAAAAATCTTAAATGCCAGAAACCAGGGTTTTACAGCTTTTTGGGCTTAAGATAGTTGCTAAAAAATTCCTGGTGTTTGACTTTTTATGCTATATAGCTTTTTGGGCTTAAGCCCGAAATATTGATTTTAGAAGAGCTGGGCTTTTTGTGCAATTTTAGAGAAATCAAATTGACACAGACGCTACTGCACTTGCTGTCGTTTTTCTTGTACAAAGGCCGTACTTGTGACAGTAACTTCTTTGAATCCCCATTATGGAGCTATCCAGTGGGGAAGATCACCGTGTGCAGGCATATGAACATCACAGACAAATGTTAGCATCTACTACCAGGTGTCAGTTAAATCCAAAAATCAAAATTACGTTGGAATCTTTTGTTTTGATCTGTGTGGAAATGGAAAAATTTTGGAAACATTTCAAAACGTTTCTAAATGTTTCATGTTATTTCAAGAGAGAATAGAATAAATGCATACGTTTTTGGTCTATCAAAATATATATATATATATAGGATTAATAATTGATTAATTTAAAAAGTTAAGACTTCAATATTGATAAAAACAAGACAAGTGGGGGTGTTCAACAAACGAACTAAACCTATTAAATCGTATAAACCAAACCAAACTCTATAAAATCGAATCGAACCGTATAGTGGTTTGGTTTGATATTTTATATATCTAGACAAACCGTGTAAACCGAATCAAACCATATAATATATATATATATATATAAATTAAAAATTCTATCTCTATATATATAATATATTTTTGTTGTTTGACTGTACATTTCTTTTTTTTTGTTATCTTTTATGTATATACTAATTCTAATAATTGATTTTTTTTCTTTTTAAAGTGTAATTTCTATTAGTAATAATAAAATTCTGTAAAATAATATAAATATATTTTTTATAAAATGTATAACTATTATAGTTAATTAATAAATAATGAATTTATTAAATTAAACATGTTGAAAAAAAAATGGATAACCAATTTTTAGAAAAATTCTGTTAAAATTTTTATAAAAATAGTAAATTTAATCCATTTTATTTTATAAATCACAAACCGTGGTTTGAAACCGAAACAAACCGTAAATTGTGGTTCGGTTTGATTTATAAAAATTACAAACTGTAAAGTATAGTTTGGTTTGAATTTGAGCATCAAACCTAACCGAACCGAACCACGAACACCCCTAAAGACAAGTATAGAATCAACAAGTAAATGCCAGTATAGACTCAAAAAGGATTAATAATGACAATTTTCTAATTTTGATATACTAGTCAAATGTTTTGAGTGTGGTTTAGCTTGCTTTTCCATGTCTCAAGTTTTTGACTAAAACACTACAGCTTCTTTATTCCACAAATGTTTCAATTTGGTCCTGCTAGGAGGAGATAAATTTCAACCATTTGGGGGAAACAAATGGAAATTTGTTCCTTGATTAAATATAGAATAGCCATCGGGTGAGACAAATTATTATTGCATTTAATTTTGCTCTCTTTTTTTTTTTCTCTGGCAATTTTTTTTCTTCTCATTGAATTGTTTAAAATAAAGAGGAAGAAACTTCTTTTCTTTCCCTTCATTCATATGAAAGTTAACTCAGTTCACATGACCTACTGTAAATCTATAACCTCTATGCAACCGAAACCTGGAGTTAGGAAATTTCTTTCAAAATTTGGAATTTGGATCAAGATTTTTGGCTGAAGAGAATCCCTTGTAGGAGAAAAGAAAATAGCAGTATTAAGGTAATGCATTTAGTGTTTCATGCTATGCCCTCAAGATGGCCTCCCTTGGTTCCTTTAAGGGTTCATCTCTGAGGTACTTGTTCTTCCTTGTGATATTTTCCAACGCTTTTTAATTTTGGAATGTCTTCCACTATCCCTGTATCTTTAGAAGGTTTCACTCTAAGACCAACTTGCAGGTGGTAACAGTAGGTAAATTTAATGGAGGTGGCGCATTTAATGTTATTCCAGATTCTGTCACCATAGGAGGCACCTTCCGAGCCTTCTCAATGGAAAGCTTGATGCGGCTCAGGCAGCGAATTGAAGAGGTAGCTTTCAAGTTATGTTTTACAGTAAATATTATGAAATATGTCACAAAAAAGATCAAGACATTTCTGTTTTTCATATTCTTGAAAATCTAGAACACAGAGAATCTTGAGGACTCTTATGTTTTCATATATTTTTTATTTTTAGCAAAATAGTTTCTAAGAATTTTGAGAAACTATTTTTTCCCCTCAAAATGGTTATATTCCCTAAAATTTCTCCCAAACAATTTTTAAAGAACCTGCTGAACAGGTTTTCTGGTTCAAAAAATAGGAAACTGCCTTTAAAAACCAATCTGAACAACTGTTCTTGAATACACAGGCTAAATGTTTTCCCTATGTCAGGTAATAACCAGGCAAGCTGCTGTTCAGAGGTGCACCGCAACTGTTGATTTCCTTGAGAAGGAGAAACCATTCTTCCCCTCCACCACAAATGACAAAGGCTTGCATGAATTTTTCAGAAAGGTTGCAGGAGAGGTTCTTGGAGTTCCTAACGTCAAGGAAATGCAACCTTTTATGGGTTCGGAGGATTTCTCATTTTACCAAGAGGTAATACCAGGTTACTTCTTTTTCCTTGGTATGAAGGATGAAACAACTGGCAAGCTTCCAGCGCTGCACTCTCCCTTCTTCAGGGTCAATGAGAAATTACTTCCTTATGGAGCAGCCCTTCATGCATCTCTAGCCACCACCTATCTACTTCAACTCCAACCAACCACGACCATCAAAGGTGGAGAACATTACGACGAGCTGTGACATTCTTTCTCTATCAATATGGATCCTTGTTGTTCACTGCAATTTGCTCCTGTTAGAGGTCAACGTGGATCATAAATTGGTCTCTGCAATTTTGGAGTTGCGGAAGTCAGAAGATTTTTGGAAATTTAATGTAGCTTTTAGTAGTTTTTAGCTGCCTACGCAACATACAATGGTACCTAACTTGTGAATTCTCTCTTTTTTGTTAGAAAAACTTGTTTCATCGAGAACAAGTTTTGTTTGTAAATGTTTACCATGGCTTTCTGTTATATTGAACTCTTATCCGTCAGTTCATCCAATAATAAAGAAGCAGTCAGTGCTTTTTTGTGGAAAGGATGGTATCAGGGCTTTAATCCTATGCTATTCCTGCTAATGTGCAGCCCTTATATTTTAATCTTTCAGAACCCTGCGAGCATTAAAGTTTAAATATCATTCATGATTGGGTTTTGCTTTTATAACGTGTTTACATATACAGCCGTCGGCGTGTCACCGCCACAACGAAAGATTCTCTATCAACACTTAAATAAAGTATTAGGATATATAAATTCTTCAGAAAAGTTTAATATATAAATTACCCACGACGCATTCAGCCAACAACAAAGAAGATGCCAATCCGAAAGTAGATAGAAAGCAACTGCATTCAGGCATCAGCTCTGTAGTTAACAGAGTGCCACCACCCTTTTTGATTTGCTTTCAGGCCACATGCATTATTATATAAGCCAAGGGACTGACTGAATGGACACCACGAAAAGATCAAATGAACAAGAAAGAGGCGTTTAAACAAGAGGATAGGATATAAAGTAATAAAATAAAACTGAATCAATTTATCCAAATTAAATAGTTTTATCACATGTTTGGTTCAACAGATAACAAATAGGATAAAATTTAGATAAAATTTTTGAAAAATAGGATAAAACTAAGAATTTATCAAAAACCTTCTGTTATAAAAAAAAAAAAGAAGTAAATTTCCTCTTTGTGTCGTCCTCCCTCTGCCATCGGATCGCCATCTACGTCGTCCTCCCTCTGCCATTGAATGGCCATCTGCATCGTCGACGGTGGCCCAGTCGTCATCCTGTCAACCAGATCAGATCGCATGATGCCCTTCCAGTCATCGTCCTCCCTCTGCGGTCAGTCGCCGTCCTCCTTCTATGGCCCATTCGTCATCATCGCCAGGCCACGAGCGTTGGCGGCCCAATCGTCATCAAAGCTCTGCGTCGTTGACGATGGCCTAGTCATCGTCCTTTCAGCCAGATCGGATCACATGATGCCCAGTCGTCATCGTCGTCCTCACTTTGCGGCCTGTCATCGTCCTCCCTCTGCAACCCAGTCATCGTCGTCGTTGGGCCATGAGCGTCGGCAGGAGTCATCGTCGTCCTCCCTCTACGTCGTTGTCGATGCCCAGTTGTCATCATCCTCCCTCTACCCCGACTCCCTCTGGTTTCATGACACAAAGGAGGAGAATGGGCAAAGACATTCTTGTCCAAAATCAAATTTTATCAGGGGCGATAAATTTTATCCCCCAACAACCAACAGATAACGTATCAGTCCATGGCTAATATGTATCTGTATCCTAATTTGTTACAAGCCAACCGAACGTGTGATGCCCTATCATGCCAACCGAACACTCCCAAAGAAAATAAGCATTTTAGGCTTCAATGTGGAACCACTTAAGCAGGACGCACATAAGGGTGGCAACAGCTAATGACAGATGACATTAATGCCAAAAAGGCTTATGCATGTTATCAGCTAAGCGCACACACGAAGCATTCGACTTGAACCTAAGTAGTCAACAGTTTCCAGTTCTTTGCAAACATGCATTGAATCATTCAATGATTTTGAGAGTTGCCTATGCAAATGGATAAGTCAGAACTCAATTGACACGGGAAACTAATACATAGGAGCGCACTGTAGAACGTAACAAATTTTAAATTACCTTCACCTCAGTATTCAGGACTGAAGAAATACCTTCATATATAATGGTATGCGAGTATGCATGCATTTGCACATATCCACATGGATAATGTAAAGTCACCAGGAAAAAAATTATATATTATCCCAAAAAAAAAAAATTGAGTCACCAAACACACATCAAATTTAGCAGCATTAGCAGATGCAAGTGAACAAGCCCCTACAGACAATTAACAAAAATTCTTCCAAGGGGTGAAGAAGCCCAAAACAAGTCATTGCAAATACAAAGTTATGCCACAAAAATTTTACAGCATACCAGTACAAACACGCTGGAAATGGATTTACAGGAAAATCATCTTAACAGTACACACATAAGCGGCTTGTCACGTCACATATCACCACAGAACAGGTGTTCCAATTCAAAACTCTGCCATGCCAATTTTAGCGTTCATCAATACAAGTTGCTAGTTAGATACACACAACATGATTCCAGTAAGTGCACATGAAGGTTGCCAGCTTTATATTTCAATATAACCAAAAATACACAAATTATTCGTCTTGGCTAAGAGGATACTAAGCCTTTCAGGATCAAATTTTAACGACCCCCCCATTCATATATTGTGTGATAGACTACAATCCGTCCAAGCCAATCCCTCCCAACAGGAGAGGAAATACCAAAGATTCATCTCAACAATGGCATGAGTAGCAGAATAATAGCTAGGCGCAATAAAGATATGTTTTACATATGACGGAAGTTCGCAATTCGGTCAAAGGTACATATAAATTCTTTTATAGGGGAATAGAAGTTGTACTTGACTGGCAGACTAGAGTATAGTGGTAGACCATTATCAAACTTGCATTTACCCACGGGCCTTGAGCTCTGCAAGACGCCTGGACAAGTCGTCCTCGTCGACCTTCTCCGACGTCTTCACCGACACCGCATGAGCAGCCGGCTGGGGCAGCCCGGTCGAGACCTCCAGACCATAATCGTCGGCGACCTGCTGCATCAAGCTGTTGACCTCGCCCTCCGGAGTCGACAGCGAGGTGCTCCCGGCCATGGAGCTCTCCATAAACTCGGCCTGCACCTCCATGTTAACAAACTGGCGTTCGAAGTGGTCCATCGTCTCCGACATCTTCTGGAGGTTGCCGGAGTTGAGCGATGACTCAAGAGACTTGACAATCGACCCCATAGACTTGCTAATGGTGGACATCTTGGCCTGCGTGTCGAGCCTAGCAACGACAGCGTCGAGGCGGGAGGCGAGACGGAGGTAATTCATCTGCTCGTTGCGCTTGCGGATAGCGTTCTCGGCGTAAATCCGAGCGCCGTCCATGTTGCCCTTCTCGATCGCCTTCTTGACCTTGAGCTTTTCGGCCTTTTCTTCCTTCTCGCACTTCCTCGCCTGGCGTTGCAGGCTCTTGGCCGTGAACTTCAGCTCCATGATCTGGTTCATCAATTTCTCCGTGCTCCCCATCTCCGATCTAGGGTTTGAAAGAAGCGAATTACGAAATATCGATCTCCAATTGCTATATAGTTGTGAAGGATCGAATTGGTCGAAGATCGATCCTTGCAGACCCTTCCTTAATTCAACACAGAATTCGTAATTGGTTGGGGCTAGCGGATATTTATATATAATAAAATTAATATATGATTATGATCTCCGTGGCTATTGCGCTTCCGAAATTTGAATCAAGTACGACGCTCCTATCAAAAAATAAATAAAATCGCGTACGACGCGGATAAGTTACAAGTTACAACCCGCGTTAGTGGTTACGCGCTTGGTCCGTCTGCACACGTGTGGACTTCTTCTTTTCTGACAGAAGCCGTGAGGAAATTTGGGAGCCACCTCGACGTTGCCCCGTTCTGTTTGGTTTGTCGACTTGTTGTGACATTTATATTATCGTATAAAAGCTTGAGTTTTTTTTAATAAAAATAAAAAAAATTAAAATATTTGATGCGTAATGTTTTAGTTAATCTAATTAGATTTATAATTTTTGAGAAAAAAATTGAAAATCCAAAATTCTGAATTCTCTTTTAAGAGATGCTTGCTATAAAAAAAAAAATTAAATGAGTCTTTTAAAAAATCACGTTTAGAAAAAAACTCTAGGATTAAATCTTAAAGCTGCATTTATCAATAGCTTTTGAAAAATATTAACTGAAAATTTTTTAAATTTATAAATCTTCAAATTTTAGATAAATTGAATAATCAAAAATTAAAAAAATAAATCAGAAAAATAAAAAGATTATAAGATAACAAATACTTGTTAATATCAAAGAAATTATTTCTCTCTTTTTAGAAAAAATCGCTTATAACTCATTCCCTCTGTTTTTATCGTGTGATGTCGAGCGTGAATTCTGTGACACCAAACTTTGGTGCTCCCAATCAAACAACAAAAAATTGAGAAGCCCGGCTCCGCATCTCATTGATGACATGAACAAGTTGGATTGTCTCTTTTTCAAATTTTTAATAAGAGAAGTAACTCCTAAAACTTTAGCACACCATTGGAAAGACTGATTATCACTTTTATTTCAAAATATTTTATATATAAATAGATTAGAAAAAGTGAAATAGCTGCAGCCTCTCAAAATATTGAATTTCCCTATAATAAAATAAGGTAAGCTTTTTATTAAGCAGCCAAAAATTATAGAATTTTGAATTTTTATATTTTATTAATTCAGAATTTATAAGAATATACAAACATCAGGCTACCTTATTATCACAATAATCTCATCTATGTGAAAAAAGACTCAACATGCATTTTTCTTCCCTTTTTTGAATTTGAATTTTTTTTTACAGAATAATCACAAACTATTTTTTTAATTTATTTCAAATAAAAAAAGGTCGGTAAAAGGAACTCCAACGTTTTACTGGCCTAAATAAATTCCAACAAAAAGAAAAGAAACTAAGTGAGGTTACAAATATGCCATCACGGCCTAACTCACCCCAATTGTGCTCAACTTTTCAAACAAGGTTGAGCTTAAATCAAAATTCATCGAGAAACTAAGTCATTGTTTTTGGTGAAAGGGAGCTGGAATTTAATAAAAAACGACAAATCAAAATCAAAATCAAATCAAATTAGTCTGAAAAGTTACAAAAAAAAAAAACCTCAAGTTGATCCCTAGAAACCGATGGAAAAGGATTCATTCACAGTACATGACAATCAGAAAATAAGAGAGAAAATGGTGGTCACATTCATGTACTTCTGAATCCATTCCTTGCACCTCCACTTGATCTGCAGACACTAGGCTCCATAGAGTAAGCTACCAAACCGTATATATTATGTATATCCTTGCAAGCATCTAAGCAAATTTATTCACATATACTTACATGGAAAAGATACTAGTATTAAATGAATAAATCTAATCTAATTTACTGGTTTCTATACAAGGCACAATTTACCTCCCTAGCCCATAAACAAGCCAAATACCTAAGAATACCGCATATCATTCATAAGTTCTGACTAGTTTATGGACAGCATTATCGAACTCATTCATCCTAATGAACCGCCCCAAACAAGACTCTTATTAAGCTAGGCTCAAGCCACTCAGTGAAGGAAGGACAGTTAAGGACATACCAGGACGGTTAAGCATTAGTAGCAAATTGAATACAAAACGAAGACGAGCAAATTTGTTGAGAAAAATGCCATTCAGAACTCGAAACAACAAAATTCAAACTCTGTGCCAAATGCTCAATAATGTTAAACACATAGGCAAAAACCAGACTATTTATAGGTCTCCTCCATTTTAAAAGAAGATTCAATAGCTTCCACAGAGCAAAGCAATGACAAATAAAAGATTAAGAATATTCTAACAAGAAAACTGAAGGAAATCACTCTCATTCCTACATTTACTTCCTACCATGGATCCTAACAGCCTGCCTGTTCCTCTTCTTGACACCAGACTTGGCAACCTTAAGGCTCCTGTGCACAGCACTCAACCTGGCAAGGGCTGCATCCTTCAGATCTGGCCTGTAATAGTTATCTGCCACCTGCAACAAAAAAATATCAAATAAAAAATAATTATACTTCATCATGCAACTTAAAGACACGTTTTGTTCAAGTAAAAATACTATATAAGTGCGTAAATTACACTCAACCTCCACATACTCTCAGTTTCACTAGAAAGCAATCTCCCAATTAAGGTAGCCAAACTCTATGGTTTGGATCAAGCTGCAATATATCCTTCATCCATTAACTAAACAAAAGTCAAAACTGAAAAGTTTGGTGGGGTAAAGTGGGACTAACTCTTAGTATTCAGCACAAAATGATAATTGTACAACAGCTGAATGTAGCCTTTTTTCTTTATTATTTGCTGTACAAGTCATGCAAGCTTTGTAATGATATCCACCAGAAGGTGGAAATTGCGGCTTACCCATAACTACAACCTTTTTACTCTCAGGTTTGAAACTCATGTTGAAACTGCCCCAAGGTGCATGGCTTTAAAGGGTGGTTTTACCCTAAAAAGATAATAATTAAACACATTGTGGCAGATAATTTACATTTGGAACTTTCAGAAAATTGATGAAGACTGCATGAGCAGATAAAGAAGAAGTAACTGAAGAAAACAACCAGCACCGAGGGAATATTAATGGCAAAATTTCAAAAAAAAAAAAAAAAGGCTCAGTGTTTTAACAACATGATAACCTAATTAGCATCTTGAAATAACCCTTGATATAAAATAGCAGTCAGACTGGCCCAAGTCCATCTCACTTGCCTACATATCAATAGAAATGGACTAAGTAATACTTAAGCATCAATAGGCAGATGGATTCACTAGAAACTCAGTAAATATGCCAAACCAGGCATAATTTTGACTCAAAAGATGGGCTTTTCCTAACATCCATTCCAATACCAAAATCAAGCTTGAAAAATGCTAATAATATTTTAAGTCAAGAGAAAGATGCCATCTGTGTTAGATAACAGTGTCCATCCAAGATAATCCACCCACAACTTAAAATATACATATTGTTAAATGCAGTTACTGAATTGAGTTCCATCAGTAGTAAGCTCCACCACTGGTGCAGCAAGATTAAAACAATAACTGTTGTATCCATCATATATACTCCAAACATAAAATAATGACAGGGATAAACACATGACCAACAGTTCATATTCTTCCTAAAATCCATTTCATAATCTGAAGAACCAACAAACAGCTTAACATCTCAATAAAGGAACTAGAAACAAATCACAATAAGCTACTAGATTTCCACCTTGGGTGTCACATAAGCTACATTCAACATATCCTCTCCTTTGCAACACGCAACTATCATAAGAATTAGAAGTATGTCGAAAAACTGCTACGTTGAATTCAGTTCCTGAAATTTATTTGCAAGCACATATAGACATTCAGCCATTCCAATGGACTTGCTGTTACATAGAAACCTCCAACATTCATAAAAGCACTTCTGTATTGACAAGCCAAGCTCCATTTGTTCCTACACTTCCATTCAATTTTAAACTACTGTTTCAACCTAATCCTTTACTTTCCCATTGGTTCGCGAGGACTCAACTTTGAGTTGACTAATGGCTATAGCATCGATGTCTCAACCCATTAACACTTCTCAGAGCAACAAACCATTCAAAAGAGTTTCATTTATCCTTCCTTTTACGAAAGAATATGGCACATTCAGATGTTTTTACCTGGTTTTTAACAGCCTTAGCCATGCAACAGAACTCCTGCTTCATTACAGACTTGTGAAGTAAACTCGCAGGCTTGCCCTGTTTCTTGGTCTTTGTTGTTGCAAGTAACACAGATTGATCTTTGCCCCCAGGTTGAATTGTAACAGTTTTCTTGTTCGCCAACCCTATTCATGGTGTCCATTAAAGACATAAGCAAGATGGAAATGCATAATTCTCATTTAAATCTAAACCGACCAAATTTAAAATACGTGATACCCAACCACTTTGTGCTTGATAAAGAACGGTAACTAGGGAGTACAAATGGGTCAAAAACTAAACAAATCAAACAAAGTTCAAGTGCGAAGAAAAAATTTATACCAACTCAATATGCATTGCATCTAACAGTTATTTGCTCCCTTGGACTTTAAGCGTGAGACCATAAGTGCTTTTGCTTTGGTCTGCCTTGATAAGGTTTATATCTTCAGAAATTCTATTTCTAGTTACCTTAGTTAAATATTTACAATTCTTCATAAATATGTACTGGCAACCAAAATTTTCAAAATAATATTTCCGTTTAATTTGTTCAGAAAACGAAAATCAAACTCCCATGCTTTATCCTAAATATTCCGAATCCTCATCCCACTCCCGATATCTCATATCCTTTTTCTTTTTTTCTGGTGAACGTTAAAAAATAAAATCAAACACAACCTTTATGTCTAAAATCACTGGTTAGTCCAGCCCTATTCATGCTAAGAGAAAATAAAATCACTAGTTGACCAACGATTTATCTTCTCCGGATTGCTCGAAAACAACAAACATCAGAGCTCAAGGACCGTTTATTTAACAGAAGAAGCAAAATATTGCACAAAATGTGGTTTGAGCATTACCAGAGTGCTTGTATGAGTTGAGGTTATAGAGATTGTTGCTCTCTTTGCTGAACTGCACACTCGCAGTTCCGTTGCCAAACTCCTTCACAAGAAAGGAGTTGTTCTTCTTCACGATCTCCCAGATCAGAGGCCCTGGAACGGTTGCCATTTTCTAGTCCAGACTGCACCAAAAAAGTTATTATCACATTAACACGAGCTTTTATAGACAAATACATATCTAATTACATATTCACATTATACAAACATGCAGCGGGAGAGAGAGAGAGAGAGAGAGAGAGAGAGACGAAATACCAGTAAATAAGCTCACCAGCTCCTAGGCTTCCGACGGCTTCTTCTGAGAGATCAGCAACCGAAGACGACGATGTTTAGATAGCAATATAAGCTGGCTTCCAAAACCCTAGTCAGTCGTGAACTACTCCTAAATTACTAAATTGCATATACGATTTCTATATTTACATTTATGTCCTCAACAGGACTATTTTTTTTTTTTTAACCTGGAAAATTAATATTTTTATTACATGATATAAAAATAATAAGCTCGTCTCAATTTCACATTTTCTTTAAATTAATTACTCAGTTTTAAAATTCATAATTTCAAATTAAAAATATTAGATATTTGTTAGTGAAGCAATAATATTTCAGAAGTTAATTATGAAATAGAAATTAGACAATTAGACTTTAACAGAGTACCATAGAAATAGTCAAATACTATCTAAAAAATCATTATAAAAATAATAAAATGAATTGTCACCGTGACATATAGTTAATAGAAATTATTACATTTTTTAGATATTTCATAATTATTTATTATATCTACGTAGAAAATATATATTGTATCTACATAGAAAATTAGGAAAATAATTTTTATAAGTTTTTATGTCAAAATTTGATGTAATGCACACACAAAAATAAAAAAAGCAAGTTCTATGTTAAAGAGTTTTGTAATACATCTGTTAAAGAATTAAATTACAAAAAAAGAAATTTTAGTTTGTTATTGGAATTATTAAAATGTTTGACAAAATACAAAATTTCATTCCAACCACTACATCAAACGGTAATTTTTCAAAAAATAAATTTGGCTCATTTTAAAAGAATTAATTAAAATAAAGGGTAAAAATTATTTTACCCCATTAAATTTTTTTTGTCTTATTTATGCATAAAATATCTATTATCTCATTTACTCCTTTAAAACTAATACTGTTAAACTAATTATTATATTCATCTCTGAATTATTAAATTTTAAATATAAAAATTTTATACTATTACTATTATAATTAATTAATTATTAAAATTTAAAAATTTTAGTTAATATTTTGTAATTGATAATATTATTTAATTTTAGCTATTAAACCATCAAATCAAGCCAGACAAGTTTGGTAGGAACAAAAAACCAAAGGCAAAAATCATATTTGTAAAATAGTGTAAATTAATTTTGTAAAGCTAAGGATAACTTTTTATTTAACTAGGTTGCACAATTAATCCAAATTTTTAAATTTAGCCATTTTTTAATCCAATACCTAAAATTAAATATTTATTTTTAATTATAACATATTAACTTAAATTTTAACAATTTAACTATTCTAATAATAATATTTCAAAAAAATCAACATATAATACTTGAAAATTTAGGAAATAAATATGAGATTAGTTTAACAGTATTAGTTTTAAGAGGTTAAATGATACAATAAGTAATATATGAGGATTAATAAGACAGATAATAAAACTTATTATTGGTCCCTTAAGTTTAAATTAACTATCAGATTAATCGTTTAAATTAAAAATGTAACAATTATGTCCCTCAAGTTTAATATATATATTCAAGTATAGTCTTTTTGACCATTTTTGGTTTATTTTCTAGTCATTTAGTAAAGGTAAAATTGTCATTAAAAAATATTAGGCAAAATTTATAATTTTTTTATGATGCAAACAATTTTATAATTTCATAACTTAATAAAGAAAATTTATAGTTAAGAAAAATTATATCATGGTTGTCACTTGCTTACCGTGTTTATGTGGTTTAGGTTGGAAAGAAAATTATGTTATAAATCTAAAAAAATAATGAATTGCTATTTTTTATAAATTAAACCTTAAATTATTTGTACAAAACTTCAAAATTATTACTTACAGAAAAAAATCTTTAAAAAGTCCGGTATTTTCTTATAAATCAAATGGATCTCCAAAACTTATTATATCTTTGAAAAATTATAAATTTTACATTTTTTTCTGATAATTTTGTCCTTAATAAGTAACTAAAATTTGAATGAAAATTGGTTAGAATGATTATATTAGAATATATATTAAATTTGAAAAAATATAAATATTATATTTTTAACTTGAGTGACTAATTTAACACTTAATTTAAACTTAAAAAACTAGTAGTAAGATTTACTCCATTACTAAGATAAAAGAAGAAATTTTAAAAGGTTATAATGATTTACACTAAAATAAATTTGATACATTTCTAAAATGTTAAAATAGTTTTGCCATGTTTACCCAATATTATTATATATTGTTATTTGTTTTCAAATAAAAATGAACAAACTAACAATTAACCCCAAAAAAAGAAGTTTAAAGAGTAATTTTATTGAAATTAAATCGTTTATTAAAAAAAGATTGATGAACCAAAATTGTAAAAATGAAGAAATAAAATAAATATGAAATGCAGGCACCCTTTTACTGATTTGAATTTTATGTTTTTTTCACTCAGACAAGTAATTTTGGCTTTATTTGGGTCTGATTTATGTTTCAAAAAGTTGAGAGCGAGGATAAGCTGTGAAGAGAAAAGAAAGGTAACTTGTGTGAGAGAGGAAGATTTGAACATTTGTTCTATAAAATTACCAAACTTTTGCAAACATTAACATTTAAGTTTAAATTATTTGTATTAATTAAAAATAAATATCACTCTCTCATTCTCTATTCACTTAGTGGCTCATGGTATGAAATAATTTTAGATTAAATCATAGAAATTAAAATAAAATGAAATAAAAATTCTCCTGAATATGTTTGATTTATTCTGATAGAACATAGTTCAAAAATGAAAAAATTGTTAAAAAAACAAAAATATTATTTATTAAAAATTTAAAAATAAAATAAAATTTAACTTCTAGTATATTAAAAAAATACTAAGAGGTTGAAAATTAAATATTTTATATTCCAACCTTATTAACATATATATATATATATATAAATGTCATTAGTCAAAAAAATGAAGAACAATATAATAATTACACAATTGGGTGATAGAATAGAATCTAAATTAAATTTCTAAAATGCTAGCAAATATATTTTACAGAATTTTATCATATTACACGTCACCTTGTATTCTCTCACTCATCCTTTCTACAATTTTGCAAATATAAACAAAACAAATACAAACATACAAGGCAATCCTTGAGGACAACCTTAATATAACATTACAAAATGATAACACGCAACAAAGCCTCTTTCACCATGGGACATTTGATTTTGCTTAAAATCTGCTTATTTAATGATTTTAAGTTACTAACAACTTCCTGACTTGTCTATTGTAAAGAAAACAAAAGTAAATAAACAACCACCAATTAGCAAAAATACAAGTGAAAAAAGACAAATATACTATATTCTAACTTTTGTTTGCTAATTATTATATTGTTCATTGAAACTTGATTTATTTTCTCGTAATAAACACTTTATTCAAACAGATAATAATTTATTTATTAATAAGCGCTCTAGTACTTTAAATTGTTTGTATACAAAACAAAACCAATGAGACCCAAGATATCCTTACTTCTGGGAATCACTCAAGAAATTGGCACCAGTCAAGGCATGGGATGAAAGTCTTTTGCATATATAACCTGCACGAAATCCATGAAAACAGCAGTACAAGAAAAGCCAAAAATGAGCTTTCGATCTTCCTCTGGGTATCATTCATGTCCCTAAGAGCAGCAAATCAAGAAAACATTGTGCTATTAGCGCCAGTAAATAAATCGAAATTCACAAATTACTCCTGATATTAGATCAACAAAACCCAACATTATACCAACCTATTTCCATCTCAACCAATATTACAATATTATACACAACCAGAGCAGCCTATTGCATTTGAACTCCTAGTGAGTTCCTCTAATAATTTTACAAGGGAGTTGTAATTCTACATAATTAACAGTAATAATTTTTTTTAAAATTTGGCTGCTAATTCATTTGAAATTCCTATAAAGTTGAGAAGAGAAAAATACCAACCAGCTACTGCAGTTATCTCCAAGAATTCTACTTTGCATGGTGTGCCTGTTGCATTGAACCGTTAAATGATGCATTTATCCTACTGAAAACTACTATCAATGGGACACAAGCTAAAGATGGGCTCTTGATCTTTATTATCAACGGTTTCTTCTCTTCGTCGCTTTGCTTGTGAGGACGCGTTAGAGAGGAGAGCTTTCGTATCTTTTTATTAGATAAAGCCCCATTTTTTCCACTCTTGTTTGATTTACTCAGCGAAGTTGATTGCTTTACACGAATCCTGCCACCACCAACCATCTTCGGCTTCAGTTCATAATACGTATCATCATCTTCCAGAAATTCATCCAACTCGCTGCAGCTAGTAGACATACTGCATTCTGGGCCACTCATCAGGTTGTCACAGAATCCATCGTTCAACAACTCAACCGTAAGAGGGTGACCTATTATGGGTAGACCAGTCAATTTGCTCACAAGAGAAATATATGGAACATGTTGGGGACGATAGCTGGCATTAACCTCCAGATTTACTTCATACAAAGCGGAATCACCTTCATAATTTCTAATAGGACAATCACAATTAGGGTTCATTGTGAAATGGGAGTGACAATATGGAAATAACCTTGGAGATACTTCACGAGATAAATTTCCATTCCATCCCCGGTACTTTCCTATCTGGGATTCCACAATTGTTCTATGGTCAATATCAACTTTTGGAGCAAAAGAATTGGATTCTTCATCCATATCCACATCCATGGAGTTTCTTGTGACTTGCCTTTTATTCTTACTTACATTTCTTGCGTTCCTTTTTCCTTTCCTTTGCCACCTTGAAGAACCTTTCTCCATTCTCCAGTTCATAATCCCAATATCACCTATGCTTGAACTGCTGGATCCTGACTTAATAAGTTCTTCATTTCCGAAGGATATAGGTCCAAC